ATTCCCTGAGGCCCCGCCCAAGCTGTTTCCCGCACTTTTCCATGTGAACGGCCTGTCCTGCCTCAGGCTTCAGCCTTCGCTAAAACCTCTCAGAAGAGCTGCAGCTGGCGACAGCGTGCCCCAGCCTATAGCTAGAAGGCCCACGGCCCGGCTCTGGCGCCAGCCTGCCTTGCTTCACAGCGCGGCCTCGCCCGGGCACCCCCAAGCCCGTCCAAGGTCTGAAGCTCTCTCCGTGGCTCCTGCCAGGTGGCCCCGGCCAGTGGCTGACCTTGCGCCCACGGCACAGCTTCCGATCACAGCAGGTGACAGCGCCACACACCGTGACTTGTGTCTGGGTGGAGGGGCTGCACTAACATGGTGTTATAACATTCTCTGGTCACGTTATCTTTGCACTCTTGATGGTTCATTTTTTACCAACTTTCTAGATAATTTATCTTATTCCAGAACCTCCTTCTAGAGTCAAAGAACCCCCACAATGGGACGAAGGCTGCTTCTTATCCTGTTTTTAGGATAAAGTTGTTGTCAGAACTATTTTTATTCTGATTTTAAATAATTGATTTTTTACTCGGACACAGCAGCTCCACCCCGCACACGGGAGGGGCACGGGGCGGAAGAGGTTAGCCAAGGGTCCCACCCACGGGCACCGACTGCAGGGTGGTGGGGGCGGGGCGATGGGGCAGCAAGAAGGCATATCCGTAAAGCTCTCAGCAATAGAGATTTAAGAACAAAATAAACACGTGTATGTTAAAAAAAAAAAAGAGAGAGTACTGTTCCCAGAAAACAAAACCAAGGCAGGAACGGAGGGAGCTTGGAGAAAGGGAGGAAAGGGGCAAGTCGACCCGCGTCAGCGCCCCCGTTGGTGTGCGGGATGCTGCACGGGCAGGCGGGCAGGTTACTCAGAGGAAACATCAGGGGTGGGGGGGTTCTCGCCAGACCAGCCAGAGGGGTTCAGGCCTAGGTGACCTGGACCCCTCCCCCGGGGAGGGTGGGCAGATATGGAGGCCGGGGCTTCTTGCCGAAACTGGAAAATGCAGAAACAACACCGACGCCCGAAAGTGCAGCCTCGTGGAAGTCGAGTCGGGGAGCCTCGTGGGGTGACTCAAAGGAAACATCAGGGGTGGGGGGGTTCTCGCCAGACCAGCCAGAGGGGTTCAGGCCTAGGTGACCTGGACCCCTCCCCCGGGGAGGGTGGGCAGATATGGAGGCCGGGGCTTCTTGCCGAAACTGGAAAATGCAGAAACAACACCGACGCCCGAAAGTGCAGCCTCGTGGAAGTCGAGTCGGGGAGCCTCGTGGGGTGTGGCCCCTCCAGCGGGCGGGGTCTGTGGGCGCC